TTAAAAGACATCGAGCCAATTACCAGGGAATCAGGTTCAATTAAAAGGCGAGCAACAATTGTACAATGACTGCCGCTTACGCGAACGATCCCATAACCCAAGAACAACAGGCAGAGAAGAAAATGAGCACGATAATTAATAAAACATTGTACAACAAGAAAGAGGAAATAACACGTGAAGAAAATACCGAAATCGATTCTGTGGAAAAGATGAAGCTTGTAACAGGTGGCCAGGATCAAAAGGAAATCCCCGTTAATCAAGAAAGGCCGCCGCTTAATACATTAATTTTTGTCGAGCAAAGAGATGAAGCTATTTTGGAATGCAAGAGGTCTTCCGAGATTGTCGAGTTCCTGGAGAAAAATGAAAATATTGTAACTATATCCAACAAAGAAGACGTGACTATAATCTCAACTAAAATTCAAAATGTTGAAGTGTCTGTAGATGGTGATCCGATCATCACCAAATCGGCAAGTTTCGACGCGAATGTATCATCGAGGCTTGACGTACATTTCAACGAAAGTGACGCGGAAAATATAATCTCGGAAACACGTGGAAATGAATCTCTCACAAAGAATAATTTTAGTATGCAAGAATTACAAAATTCTCTTAAGAATGTCACAAAAGATACGAACGTTTCGAGTAGTCATGAAATTTCGAATGGATCGTCGGAACGGGCAGATTTTCAAAATATTTCTGAAGACGTATACGATCCAGAAAGTGAACTGAATTTCCATGAGGCTGTTCGTGCTGGGGACGCTAAGTGTATTGCGGCGCTTCTTGCAAGAGATTCTGTGCAAAACCTGGACGAACCGGATTGGAATGTTTCAGGTGATCCGCCCTTATTAGTAGCCGCAACAAATCATTGTTTGCCTGTTCTCAGGTAAGAAATTTCAACTACAACATGTAATTTTTTATTCTAAATTATATATATAACGACTTAATATTGTTTCGTATTGTAGAAGGTATTCTGAAATGTAACGTACCATGCGCGTTTCACGAGTCTTTTTAAATCGAGCAGATTTTTAAACAATCGCAAGCATTTTAGTCTTATATATAATTTTCTATTACATACTGTCAAGAAACTAGAGAGTAATAGGCAAATAATTTTCAATTGCACATTTTTCTAGAAAATCGTTACGCGTTATTTTAAAAATGAGATTTATCTTAAACTCAGAAAAGCTATAGAATGTAATATTGTGTAAATATCACATTATTTTCTGTTGAAAATTATAAAATATCATTTATTTCTAATTAAAAAAGTGAGATATTGTATGGTAAATTATAGGATTTTAATTTGCTTAATTACCGAATTTTAATTTTCATTGCTTAATTTCAATAAGAGATTTGCAATTTTTATTTTAATGTTTACGCGAGAAATAATCGAATGTTAGTATTGTCGAATGTAAAAAATATTCGTAAATCTTTTGCAGTAAATATTACATTGAAATGAATATTTGTGAAAACTATCCTTGCTTGTACACTTTAGTATACTTTTCTTAACATATTGTAACCAGATGTTCAAAGGCGTAAATACTATTCTCGAAAGAATCTCAGGATCTCGAGTTTATAAGTTTACACGTGGAGAAAAATTAGCACGTGAATAAAATATGAATAACAAAATATTTTATATGTTAATTTGCAACGGATTATAAATAATGACTGTTGCTTTCTCTGATAAATCGTTGCAATGGAAAATCATTATTTATTTAGCTATTTACTTAGTTCTAAATTAAATCTAAATTTTAATATGAATTTCGTACAGAAAATTCTATTCACAAAAATATTGAATTTAATGAAAAAAAAGTCGAACAATAGTTTATTGTGAATAATCATTGGTTTGTAGTTTACTACTTGCGAACGGATGCGATCCAGCTGTTCGTTCCCCTCGTGGTGAGACTGCTCTTCACAGAGTGATTTTAAATGGAGGTCCAGGAAATGTATTACAATTTGTTGGAGAACTCCTAAAATATGGTTGTCCATCAGGCGTCAAAGAAGCTGGCGGTGGATTAACCGCGTTACACATATTAACGCGACAATTAGCGCACGCACAAGGGTCGAAAAATCTTCATCATAATTTTGAAGCCGCTCTAAAAACTTTGGATTTATTAGCACGTGCTGGTCCTATTAACGCAAAAGATCATCAAGGTCGAAGCGCACTTCACATATTAGCCTCTTCAACAATCTTTGGTAAGATCGTCATCGCGTTTAACATTTTAAATGTTACATTTTTATTTTTCTTAACATCTAAAAAACGGATTAAATAATTTTTGTAACATAAAATTATATTTTTGTAACATCGAATTATAGAGGCATTAAATTTAAGTAAGACATTTTATACTGAAATCAAAGAAACTTTAGTTAAATTGTAATTTTTTGTTATCAACAGAGTACATTAGTATTATATATACTGCATCAATTAAAACTATAAAATGGTTCACATCTTCTTTGTTTTAATAAATTATGTTATAAAGTAGAAGATAACAGATAATGGTTTTTTTTACAGATAACAGTCACAGAACTGAAATTGAGTCATTAATTGAAACTTTGTTGGCTGCTGGTGCTGATCCATCATTGAAGAACGATCGTGGAGAAACACCTTTACACGAATGCCTTGAGTGTGGTGCATTAAACACAGCGTTTTTACTTGTTCCACACACATTGACTGGAATCATGTCACGTTATGGCGAAACACCATTGCACATTGCCTCTAGAAAAAACTATCCTGATATGGTGGCAAAATTATTAGAACAAGGAGAAGATCCTAGTGTACAAGATGCTGGTGGCAACACGCCATTACATTTAGCTTCTGCAAGAGGTTTTCATCAGATAGTTTCTTTATTAGTTACATCTCCACTCGCACAGTTAGAGAAACTCAATAGTGATGGTTTGACTGCTCTCCAAGTAGCTGCAGAAAGTGGTTTCGTCAATGCAGTAAAACTGTTGCTAAAAGCAGGTGCTGATCCAAGTCAGACAGTACACTATTGCACAACTACTCTTCATCGTCATCCTGATATTTCTGTCTTAATAGATCATGAGTTAAGTAGACGTCGTCAACTTGCTGCCTGATCATTTCTATTTATCGTTTCATTAAGAGAAACGTTTGAGTTTAGTGAAACTGATCACCATCTATCTTTCTCCATAGTAAAACTCTGATAAGAAATTTATTTTGTTATTCAGTTAACTTCATTAAGGAAATTAGACAAATCTTAGAAATATATGTGAATTTAATGTTTTAACTGTATATTGGTATCATAACTTTGATTTAAAACTGCATAATTAATCATTATATCAAATACTCTAAATAAAATCCCTTTAGCTAGAATTAATCAAATTCAAAGAGATTAAAATACAAATATTGTTTTAAATATTAGCATATATAATTTCAAGTTCTCAAAAATCATATTATATTCCGATAATAATTTTACAGATATCAATACAATAATTAACGTATAAAAACGTTAATGTTTATGCCGTAATTAATTAATAATTAATGTAATTCATTGTGTTGAATCTCTATACTTTTCAATTATGTAAAGAGCATTTCACAAATTTATATAGTTACAACACTGTAATTTAGAAAAAATTAGCTCAGAATTTGTTAATTTTTTAATGTTTTCTTTCATCGTTAAGTTTAGATGTTAAAGTATGTTGTATAGCAAAATAGTATAATTCTTTTTAGATAATGAAAGTTATTGTGATCAACATACTTACTTTCACATACAATTTTTAAAACTAATTAAAATTGTTGAAATGCTTAAATAATTTTGAAATGTTACAAAATCTGAAAAATTTGAGTTTTCACGTGTAAGTTTTTACTATAAATATGTTGCCATTTAATTGAGCTATACTCTATTGTTGTTACATTAACAAATGCTAGTATTTGATGGTTGATCAATGCTGTCTAGTATTCAGTCATTTGAAACTTGACAGAAATCGTTTAAAACTGCATAAATGTTGCTATAATTTCTGGCTGTGGATAAAAGTGCACTTTAAAGACTGTATAATACTGAAATATACATTTTGAATAAATGAATACTATTGATTTAGGTATTACATTATTATATATGCTTATATATGTTATGCTTAATTCATTCTTTTATATTATTTTTGTAAGACAAATAAATACATATATCAATTGAAATAACATTGTTATACATTTTGCAGAATATATATATATAAGTCTCTGTAAAAAAGAATATGAAATAATAGTGTATTTTTGTTAATTATATATAATTAACAGGTGTAAATTAACTTACAAAATTTATGAAAATATAATAAATAATAATGTAACATATAGAAAGGTTATTTAAAAAAAGTAGAGAAATCAAGATCTTGGTTCGAGTTGAAAATTTAATATTCTGTGTTGCTGGAAATTTATCACTCCGGATGGTATAGGGGTAAGAGAAGTCTTTTATTATGTGCTAATTACTATGTAATTATAGTGACAAATAACATGTAAAAAGAAACGAGCCTTCTTCCAACTCGGACCAATTAAACCCGCGTTTTTTCTAAGTGTCAACTTCCCACTCTTTCGTAGTGTCATCCAGTAAGTTATGAGGGCAAAAACAAAACAAAACATTTACAATTTTTTAATATTTCTTAAACCTCTCTAGTTCTGCGAAATTACAATAGCAATACCGTAGTTCTTTATATAATTAAATACGCAACATTGTAACAATACAAGTCAGTATTGTATTTTATATAAGTAGGTCCATCTGCATTGATGAGACTATTTTTAAGGATTCATTTTTTTCTATTCTTTTAAGTCAGCGGTATCGAACTGCCTTTAGTTCAGGACTATGTAGTATTATGTATAGGTAAGTACGTAAGCAACTCTATCTATTCTTTAAATGGCTCACTATTACCTATGTGTATTTGTGGTGGTGACTAACCTGCTCGTAGTGGTGTTCACACATAACTGAACGTAAGTAGGGTGGAGAGGGTAATTCTTGTCGATTAGACCGAAAGAGCAAAGAGCCTCGGTGGTTTGCAACCACAAGTTCGACACCCCTATTTTAAGTTATATAATTTAATTATTTGTCATAATCGTTATTATTACAAATTTAAGTTATATAGCAAGTAGTCAACAATAATTCAATTTCAGATTTTTTATTTCAGATGTATATTTAAATAAAATTATTTCTAAAAAAATTGCTTCTTGTTTTATCTCAATTTACGTACAAAATGGTATAGAATAATATTTTTGAAAAATATTTTACATTCTCAATTTCTTAAATCTGCCATAACAATTAGTTTGATGCTGCTGATTTCGATAAATATATTTACTCAGCGTTCTTTTTTAAATTCAATGTTATAATTTTCGTATTTCTTTTAATTTATAACACTACTACCAATGATAATAGAAGAATTAGGCACTTTACAGCTAGCATATTTAAAATTACATATTGTTGCATCTAATCTGTCATTGAATGTAACGCTTATTTATAAATAAAAATTTATATATTCTTTTCCACTGACGTATTACGTGTTTACATAAGTTACCGTATAAAAACTTTCCTTTCTTTTCTTTGTATTGCGTACTTCAACCCTCTAATTTAATCATTTGTTATCTTTAAAAATAAATTTCTTTCGGTATACGGCAGAATAATTTTTTTACGAGAGAAACGTTGCTTGAAATCTATAACAAATTTATCTTCATGAAATTAAGAAAATTTGTCTTGTACTGTATACTTACATGTCAATAATACACAAATTATAAAACACTTATAAGATATAATATTTTGTAACATATATTTAGATCTATTAAAGTAAAATTAAAACAGAAAAAATTAATTGAAGGTTATAATTTTACACTCATTAATAATATCTGCAATTTCTTAAAAATTAACACAATACAAATGTTGGTTCAGTGTAATGTATCCATATTTAAAAATGGAATAAATTTTTATATCTTCGTAATAATACAAAATTAGTATCTATGTAATACATAATAAAACATTTGCTTATTAGATTACTTTTACATTCGTTTCGATGTTACTCTTATGTTCAATTCGATGTATAACATTATGATAATATTTGTATTTTCATACCTAAAGATTCAAGTAATGTAGTTTTATAAATACAAAAGTCCTTTAATATTTCATACTAGAATTTATATGTATTTTAGAATTTTCATTAATTAAACAAATAGTTTCTTTTGGCACTCCTTCTTTCTTTCAGAACTAATATGTTTTGTATTTATCATACATATAAAAACATTCTATTCGTATATTCCTGTTAACAACATTACCTTCTTTTTAACAATTTATAATATTTGTGTGCATTGAAAAAATATTAGAAATTCAGATTTTTATAGAACTTTAATATAAATTATGCAATGAAATACAAAATGTATGGTAATTCTACTTTTTATGAATATCACACTGTCATTGTCTATTGACTGTTGTCAATACATAAGTATGAGAGAGATTCAAACGTATGATCTCTAAGCTTTTGAAGCCACTATGCTATATGCTATTCTAAACATACAATTTTACATAAGTATGACGAAGAATAAATTCAAACTTAAATATATCTATACTGAATATATTCATGTCAGCATTAATTTTTAATACTATTATGTAGAATATACTGTATTTACATATACTTAGATTGAATTTATCTTCATTTTATACAACTTATATTTCTTTCCATAATATTCTGAACATAAAACTTCTTACTAAACATCTAAAAGATGTAAGCTGAATTTACTTTTTGCTTTCCGTTATGTGTCTGTTTTTAATTTTTTATCCTTTAAAATTGGTTTCACTTTAGTGATTTTTAGATGACATTTCTGTAGCACAACAATTGTACCTTTTTCCATTCCTTGAACAAATTTTTGTTTCCCTTAATATAGCGTGTTTTTTGCCTGTTTTTGCACAATGAAATAATCATTAGTATGAAACCAATGTGAGAATAAATCATCAATGGTCATTTTATTTTTGTTTTTATAATGTAATATCATTGCTTTAATTACATAAATATACAATTTTTAAATTTCTTTTATGAAGTTAGTTAGAAAATGCCAGCATGCAACAAAAATAGCTGTTGTTTATTTGTTACAATTTGAAAAAATAAGTAAGAAAACATAATAGGCCTTTAAAGTTGCATATTTCGTTCAGTGACATGATTTTGTAATTACTTGCTTATGTGCGCTGACTCTAAGAGAGTACAGTTTTCAAAATATGTTGTCGTTCTTCATTTCTTAAACATTAGAACCAATATTTACTATTCGATTGATTTACATGTAATTCATAATTTTAATACTTATTTGCAGTAACATTCTCATACTTTTTAGGAACAATATTTATTTCTCCTTTACATATACAAAAAATATATAACTGAAATTTTAGATTTAGCATTTGAAAGTAAAATCTTTGGTTCTATAGATATGGATGCTTAAAATCCATGTTGAATATGTATAATGTGCAACTAATAACTAACATTGGTTCTAATATCTATGTGATACTATGTACTATGAAAACTTCAATTTTTTTATGTAGGCCTAATAATTTGCACTTATTATTATTAGAATTCCAATACAAAATACTAAATATAAATAAACTTGCGAAACAGTTGCAAGTACATTCTGCATTTGAAATATATGTATATTAAACAATGATATAGGATCTATGTATAAGGCCAAATATTTTCATATGAAAACTATAATCGAATAAAATAAAGTACCTATATTAACAATAAAAGTACTTATTATATTAAGAATAGAATAAAGTATGTATTATATTAATTTATTCACTACCATTTGTCTTTAGCACAAAATATTTATAATGATAAATAGCTGCTTTGGTGAGATAGAGGTCATTGATAGGAGGATGCAATACATAAACTTCACCCTAGCGAATGAACACCATCATGTATTCAACTGGAGTCTGTCATTGAACAATTGTTAAACGGTTTTAAACTTATAAATTATATATTAATAGTAATAAAAATTAATAATGTACAACTATAATGATGTTTTTCACTTATAATAAAATATTATAAGATGCAATGAAAAATATTACTAATAATTATAAATATAGTATATATATATATATATTGTCAATATCTTATAATGATTATTTCATTTTGTGCAGATGTCAAATTATGGTAGTGAATATGTAACATATAAATATAAAACACACAATTTTTATCTATAACTTCTCTAGCATCAAATTACAACAATACGTATTTCAAATTGTACTCATACGTATATTTTTCTTCTAAAAATAAACATAACTATATATTCAATAATCTGTTAATTTTTACATATTATCATCTAAGAACATTAGAAGTGTTTCTCCGTATTAAACATTATCATAATCTTATAAAAAATAAATGTTAATAATCATACTTTTAATAATATATAATATAAAAGAAAATGTTCTTAATATTTTTAACTTGGCAATGTACCATATTTGTTACTCTATTTTGATTGGCCCCTTCTAGATATTAATTAGTTTAGTAGAAAAAGGCTAACAAAATTGTGTAGTAAATATGGTGCAATGCAAGGTTGAAAATTAAACTAGTTACATATGTAGCTGTAGATATTAACCTTTTGCACCTAAGAATATTTTTCTCGACAAATATTCATTACTTTCCAATAAAGTATCAATGATCATTTTTACAACTAACATACAGTTATATCTTGCGGGATAATTGAGAGGCGGAACTATTTTATTTTGATGTTCCATGTTATTGATACAATATATAAAATTTAATATTGAATTTAAAATTTTTAAAATCACTTCTCGAGTGCAAAGGGTTAATACATTTCATAGAATTTATTTATTAATTTAATATTAAAATTTAAATAGTAAAATATAGTATTATAGTAATAATCATTGTATATCAAATCATACATTAATTAAATGCTATAACATGAATATAATAGAAAAATCTTTAAAAAAGTACTAAAGTTCCAATTTCAAAAGTTTGTTAATCATTAAATTATTTAATCATGTAAAATATTGCACAAGTGAGTTCTGTAACTGATTTTGTTCATAAAGAATATTTTTCACTAATGA